AATTACCATTAATAATTTGCATAATAGCCATTAGGCATCACTTATTAAACACTTCTTTGATGTGATACTGAGCCAGCTCCATACCTCAAATGCAGACCATGGCTTTTTTCTGGCTAATGACTCGTTGGTTTATACCACCATGTTTAGCAAAACTCCTGCAAGGCAAGTGAAATAATTATCACAGTGAGTTTGGTAACAGCGTGATCCTAGGTCTTAAATACTCCTCGGAGACCAAGGTGATTACTCGGTTTCAGTTTCTTTCTTGCTGACTGTTTGCATCTTCAGACTACCTCTGAACATTTGCTAGTGATGAAGCAGAAGTCCAGCAGAGCGTGGAGGTGGGCAGAAGCAGATTTTGTGGCACCGAAGCTCACAATCTTCCCCGATTACTTTTGTGAAGGGTTGTGATTTCCTTCCAGACGATGACAGTGCAGCCAGGCTTCCCAGCATTTGCATCTCCGGAAGCACTGCTGATTATCATCTGCTTATCAAAGAAGAGTACAGGAGTGTTTGCATTAGGAGCGGTGGGAATGCTGATGGGTGAACGGAACTACGGCAATTTCACTCCCGCACGGACAGCAGAGCGTGGCGCAGGTCGGGAGAAGACACCAGGCTTTAGCCTGCGGTGCCTCCGGCAGAGTCGCGTGGGTCAAAGCAGAACCCGAGTATTCAAGTGCCTGCTGCGCTCAGACACCGACAGTGGTGCAAGAGAGAGGCAGCCAAAGGTGGAGGCCAGCCAGAGCCTTCACAGTGTCAGCTTTTTATCTTTATCTCATACTTCTGCTAAACAGTCTCACTTTCAATATGTGGTTCATACTGGCAGTTTAAGTGATATTATTCAGAGGACTGAGCTGAGAAATATCCTGCTTGATTATAGTATCCTTTACTCAGCTATATAATTCTTTATAAATGTTACACAAGTGAGTCAACAAAAATACAACCCCCACAGGTAGCTCCTATGGGTGCGAGTGACACTGTGTCTGTCTGTGTATTTTATAAAATAGACTTTTATAGAGAAGTTATAGTTTATACATCACACCAGAATACGGCCTACTGTGGGCACAGCGTGGTGCCTGTAAGCAGGTACGATTGCTCGGGCAGCGCAGTCCTTCACTCGTGGCTGGTCTCCAGCATTGGCAATTTGCAAAACTCCGTGTTTTCTTTCTGTTTCTTCACTGACGTCTTAAACCTCCAGCGTGTTCAGTCCTCAGGGATTTTTTCTGATGGTGTTGTAATTCACATGTGAGGCAGAGACCGTATCTGCTGGAGCAATCCCAGTACGTTTCATCTGCAGCCACTGGTGGTGACGCTGATGGCTTCTGCCTGCCGGCCTGAGTGCTGCCGGACTCCCCCTCCTCGCGCTGGGGCACCCAGCCTTGCTCTCCTGCCCCCAGATTCCGCTCCCAGTCTTGCACCTTCAGCCCCAGTCTCTGTCTGTCTTTGGGATACTCGTCCATTCTTGCTTCCCAAGGCTCGCACATTAGAACACAAGAGCACGAGCTCTCGCAGGCTGCGCTGCCTGTGTGTGCGTGGGGAGCACGGCAGAGATTCACCCGCCGTCAGCGTCCCGGCTCACTTCTCGTCCTGTCGGCCCACGCACTGCGTCCTCTGCATTTCGTTTGCCTTCTCTTCCCCGCCTCGTCCTGTGCTGTTCCCGCAGTCACCGTTTCCCGTCACTGTCCGGGTTCTCTCCTGGTTTCTGCGCAGCGTTTGGTGCGGTGACCTTAGAGGTGCTGTGCAGGTTAAATAACACGGAAAGGCGCGGTACAATTAGTGTTGCAGGAATGGGAGATGCAGAACTTAATAGAGAAAGTATTGAATGCAGAGCCTTGTCCAGTGGCTCGTTAGAGCAATTAACCCCAAGGGCTGCCAAGAGGCTGCTGCTGGGACAGAGGCGGGAGAGGCCATGGCCCAAGGCACAGCCGGAGCCAGCCCAGGGGTTGCTGGGCCCCGGCCCCCTGCACGCTCGGGGCTGGAAGCTCAGGGCACAGGAGCAGGAGATGCTTTCTGCAGAGCAAGAAACAGAGGTCCCGGTTTTGCTGTGATTTTTGCCGGGACAGTAGCTCTGTGGGGTCAAGCTTTGGCTTGTCCCAGGTTGTCAGTGCAGAAACGTCTGAGCTGTTTCCTTCGGAACGGACACCAAGCCAGACCCATCGGATCCCCCGAAGTCTGCTTGTCAGCAGCCCTTGCGTTAGACCTCTGTGTCAGGTTAGTGCCAGAGCCCATCCAGCAGTTCGTTACAGAAGAAGGCGAATGGAGCCACATAGTGAGGAGCAAAGACTGTGAGCACCGCTGCAGCCCGTCCGACGCGCTTGCTGGATGCTGCTGCCGGTGGGAAGGGGCAGGCTGGATCTTGAGTCTTGGCTGTAGTTGTGCTCCTGAAAGCGTTTGTAATTCCTTTCTCTGTGGTAAAAAAATACCGGCATCTTTTTTTTTTTCCTGGCTGTTTATTGTATCTTAGTATTAAAAAATTCTCTCCCACATATTAATTTGTCTCACCCTTTTATCTTCCCACATGTTGCCAGCTGGTTCTTCCTGTTTGCCTTTTTATTTAAATCCATTTAGAGGTTCTTTATTTAGCATTTTCTCTGGGAATAGTTTTCCTCCACCAGAAGGGTGTGGCAAGTCCAGCAGAGCCTTCAAAATTACTACTTCAGTATTATTTGGGAAAACTTGTTGTTCTTGATTTTATCCTGTTACTGCACATTCATAATAACTCAAAGGTGCTGCGTATTACATTATATTATATCATATTATATTATATTAGCACACACCTACTTTAATGAAAATTCGATTTTCGCTCAGAAGTCTCCTTCCACAGTAAGATCACCAGCCAGACTGCCTTGAAACCCCTTTCCTGCACTCTCTCCAGCCTCCCTGAACGTTGCTCTCCTCATCACCTCCTACTTCGTGTCTTAGCTTCCGCCTCCTCCTCCGGCAGCCGCCGTCCCTTTGCGCAGCGTCGGCTCCATCCTCCGGCAGCGGCCCCGCCACCTCCGTCCCGCAGCCTGGGAAGTCAGCAGGAGCCCTGTGGCAGACGCGAACACTGCGCATCTTTATTTTCTCCTTGTACTGATTGCTTTGTGGAAATAGGTGAAAGGTAGATTTCTAACCAAAGGTGTATGGTAAATAGAACTATCTGAGTAGCAGTTTTTAAAATACTTGTATATTAATTTACGTGTAGAAATTATTTCTCAGGTTCAAGGCTGTGTCAGTAGTAGTGAAGTTTTATTAGAGACAAGCTTTGATAGTTGTTAGACAACTGACCGCAAAACAGCTGAGCCCAAGACCAGTGCTGGGATGAAAGCAGCGTCAGGGATGAAAGCAGCAGGCGGCGTGGGCGGCAGGAAGGCAGCCGTTCTGCAAAGTCCCTTCCGGCTGGTGCCGTAAGCTGAACTGAGAACTGGCAGGTGATTTCTGCTTTGCTTTTTCCACATGGTTTGTTCTTCGAGAGACCTCCTCAGGGGGCTGGGCAGTGGGGCTGGCAGGGAAGCGCTCTCGTCTGCAGGGACCTGCCGAGGGACAGCGGGAAGCGTTACTTTGTCAGGGGGTTCGTCTGCACACTGTGCCTTTCTCTTGCACCCCCCTTGCTCTTGTACTGACCTTTCTTTTTCCTCCTCTCCCTACCTTGCTTAACTTTATATACTCGTTGAAAGACTCGTGACTGACTGATTCCTCCTGCCAGTTCCTCATTTTAGTGTTGTGCTGAAAGTCTCATTTAAACAAATTCGCTTCTAGTAACCCCCCAATGTCGAACACATTTTCTATGCATAGGTTTACAAATGCCCCAAAGCTGCAGCCCTTGCCACCGCTTGCTACCATAGCCCAGTTAATCCCAGTAACTGCCACCAGCAGTCCCAGCCGTGCCCCTGCGCGCCCGACTCCCCGCACGGCCGCTCTCCAGGAAAAAAAACCCCCCCCCAGCCCCTCTTCACCACCCAGAGAAGCCTGGAGACCTCTCGTCCTCCTCTTCCCCAGGAGCAGAGCAGGAGCAAAGCAGCAACCGGTGGTCACAGCGCAGGCTTCTGGGGGACGCCTCACCTTTCCAGCCTCCAGCTTAGGGCAGGCACGGCTGACACAGGCCAGCCTGCCTTTAAGCCCACCGCTTCTTCCGGCTGATGCTGCAGGGACCCCTCTTCCCATGGGCCCTCTGTGGAGAGGAGACAGCTCTGGTCACCCGACCGCAGCATCCAGCCCTGGAGCTCTGCCCGGGGGCTGGGGCGCTGGCGGTGACTCTGCAGCCACTGCCGGCCACTTCCCCTGCGAACCCCGGGGGTCATCAAGAGCCACAATTAGCACATCCTCCCTCCTGCCTGGCTGTTGACAGCTACTGCCTTTCCATCCTGACGCGCTCGGGATTACCCGAGGCTCTGAGACAAGGTCCCGCAGCGTCATTTCATCCATTGCAACTGGCATGTTGGAACAAAACCTGTTTTTTCGTGTAACTAGTTTAGCACTGGAGAGCCCAGGAGAGCCCACTTCAGGGCACCACCATTAAAATACCCCTTTTTCCAGACTGATGGAGCAGGGGGGTGCTCAGGCCGGTTATGTGTGTATGCAGCCATTTAGGAGATGAACAGCGTGCCTCGCTGTTTCAAAATCCCAGTCAATGGGCGGCCGGGGAGAGACAGCTGCTTTGCATACAAATTAAATCTCCCAAAACTTTAATTAAAATTGTTGTGTGAAACTGAAAATGTTTAGATAATTTATTGTTTCAGTTAAGTTAACTGCCAGTCCCTAAGCCTGTCTAGCTGTGGCAAAGCCAATAAAACTCAGTTAAATGGCGGTGTTGGTGAACAGCCCGCAGTGAAATCCGCCCTCGCGGGGGCGGCGGTGCTCCACCCCCCCCGGGCGGTGGGGCAGCTCTGGGGCCTCTCTGGCTTCCACCCTGCGCGTTCAGCAGAGCCAGCTCCTCAGGTGCCTCGGGGTTTGCTAACAGGCCCTGTCTGCTAACAGGTCAATACTGGTTCCTCACCACAATATTGCTTTTACTGCTGCTATCACGAGTTTTCGTATCCCTGTAAGTCAAAGCAGAGAGATTTTACTGTGTAGTCTGCGTACATGATGTCGTGCTGTCCCCCCTCCAGCAGGCAGTGGTAGGTCTGAATCTCCTGCTCCAGGCGGCATTTGACGTCCAGGAGGGTCTTGTACTCCTGGTTCTGGCACTCCATTTCTGCTCGTATTTCAGCCAGCCGCTGCTCCACGCAGGAGATCTGGTTCTGTAGCTCAGCCAGGTATTTGTTGTAGCGACATTCGGTTTCCGCCAGAGAAGATTCCAGGTTTTCTTTCTGAGAATGGAAACAACACAAAGGTACCTGGGTACGCCGCAAGCTTAGCCCGTCTGGTTACAGGCACGCCTCTGGCCAGGCGGCTGTCTAAAGCGAGCTGGGGAGCCGGAGATGTGAATCCTGGTGGCGTCACCTACCATGGTGAGCTGGGCTTGGACATTGATTTCCAAGGCCTGCAGCTGCCGTCTCAGCTCAGTGACCTGTTTGTTGCTTGACTCGATCTCCTGGCTGCTTGTGATGACCTCCAGATTCACCTCCTCCACCTGCAAAGTTAGAAAAGAGCCGCCCTTTCCTCACCTCCCCACCGCACCTCGCTGCGGCAGGGGCTTCCCCACCCTGCTTGTGCACACCCTGCAGCGAACTGGAGTATTCCCACGCCTGAAGCCCCCCCATTTCTTCCGTTGTGACCCTGTAACAGCATGCGGCGGCTCCTCTGCCATGAACAGAAGAGCACTGAAGGTGGGCAGTACAGTCAGATGCTGAGCGCATCCATGACAGCATTGCTGATATTACGACATCTCCAGTGCTCTTAATCTCTCGTCTTTCCCTTTTCCCCCAACAGGCAGAGCAGGGTGCAGCTCTGCACACAGGTAGTACCTTGCAGGCATACCACTGCTCAGTCTCTTTGCGGTTGCGCTCCATCAGCGTTTCGTACTGGCACCTCAGGTCCTCCAGGATCTTCCTCAGGTCTGGGCCAGGGCAGGCATTGACCTCCACGCTCACGTCTCCGGTCGCCTGTTTCCTCAGACAGCTCATTTCCTGCAGAGAGGGCGTGCACCGTGTCACTAATATTGACACTGGGGGGGACTTTCCTTCTTCTTTCTTCTTAATTCTCTAAGAGCAAGGGGCAATCTAACCTCCTCGTGGTTGGTCTTGAGACAGCACATCTCTTCGGTCAAAGCCTCGCACTGTAGCTGCAGGTCGGTCTTGCAGCTGGCCAGCTGATCCAGGACCGGGCGCAAGTTGCAGATGTCTGCATCCACGTTTTGCCGGAGACCACATTCGGTCTCGTACCTGAAGCCACAGGCAACAAAGAAAAGTCAGCACGTCAGTAAACCGTGGCGAGCCCTTGAGTTGAGTTTGTGGGGAAACGGTTTAGGACCAAGTCCTTCTTTTGCTTCAGGCACGCAATGCTGTGAACGTCGTCAATGGCGTCCCGGCCGTTCAGAGAGATCTGCGCCTTCGTACGGCAGCACGCCAAGCAGAGGGCTGGGATTTCCCCACCGCCACCGCTCACCTCCCCTGCCACGGGCAGCGCCAACCCCTCGCGCCGGCACAGGACCGTACTCACTTCACTCTGAAGTCATCAGCAGTCATCCTGTTGTTATCAATATTCAGAAGGATCTTGTTAGTCTCCATGGCTGCACACAGGATCTGGAAAAGAAAATGCGGGACAGAGATTCGGGCTGTGGCTTCCTCTGGCTACAGAAGGCCCTGGAGGAAACACCCACCTGGGGTCATGCAACCCACTTTTTCTATAGTGATTCCATAGATGGGGTTATTAATCAGTGAGAGATGGCATTGCAGCCGGGAAACCCGCGTGCCAGCTTGGAGCAGGCTGTGCTGAAACGTCAGTTCTCGGTAAATGCAGTGTCCTCCTCCCTCAGACCGTCTGTTTCAGATAAACTATTGCTTCCTCTGCACCTCCAGAGGCATAGCTGTTGCCTCTGCCGTTGGACACTGGTCTAGCCACGTGTGAAAGCAAAGCCCAAAGAAATGTTAGGATTTTCTTGAAAATTACTTACCTGGTTTTGAAGGTCTTCAATTTCCTTATGATAACAGCTGTAGTCCCGTGGTTCGCAGCTGGGCCCTACCTTGGCATACCACTCCCTGATCTTGCACTCCAGGTCGGCGTTGTCTCCCTCCAGGAGCCGCACCTTGTCCAGGTAGGAGGCCAAGCGGTCGTTGAGGTTCTGCATCATCGCCTTTTCGTTGTTGGCAAACAGGATCCCATCACCGCAACCAGCACCAGCCCTGGTGAAAATGCCACCAACGCCTCGAGTGCAGATGCCTCCGCCACTGAATCCAAGGGTAGAACAAGCCCTCTGGGCAGCTCCAAAGCTCCCACCGGTAGCACTGCCAGCGCTCAGCTGCTTCCCAAGGAATCCCTCGCCTAAACTGCCACCAGAAAAACTGCCGACCGCGCCACCGAAGTCGTAGGCAGCGTGTCTTCCCGAGGAGGCAGAGGAGACCTTTATTCCGCTGCCAGCTGCCGAGCTGCCCGCGCTGCTCCTGCCTTGGGAACAGGCAGCAACGACCTGCCTGACGGAGCAGCTCATGGTGAGAGCGCGAGGATCCAGCCCGGAGCCCAAGACAAGCTGCACGGGTCGCTGCGGTATCCGGTTGTGAGCCCTCTGTCCCCGGCGTCCTCTATTTATACCGTTCCTCGTGGATGTTGCCACCAGAGAAGGGCTGTTTATTCTTCCTCCTTGTGACCTGGCTAGTGCTAATTTTTTTTTTCACCCGGAAATATTTCCCCAAAGGCGTTTGTCTCCAGAAATCCCACAACAGAAAGATGCTTTGGTTAACAGAAGCGTGTTTCAAAACTACATCCAAAATGCTACTTCCTGAATCATCAGGTCTGACTTGTGATGACAGCGAAGCAGCAGCGACACGAAAAACAATGATACCCAGGAGCGCCCGGGGAAGGAAGCAGCACAGCAATTATCCTGCCCTGACGTGGGTGAGTCTGCCTGGAAAGTGAAAGCTGCGGGAAGCCGTGCTATCTGACGGAGCCTCTGAGACCTCGAGATGCGCGGCTCTCGGGCGCACGCAGAAATACTGCCCGCGAGCAGACCCGTGATTCTTTGTTACTTCTCCTTCTCCGGCATGCATCCCAACATCCCTGCAGAGGGGACATCCTGGGGTATTTGTTTTGCTGCTTTCGGGGGTAGACATCATGTTCAAATATTTATCCAAAATAAAAGAGAAAAGGACATTTCCCGAGTACCAAACATTGCCGTTAACTATGAACATGCACTGCTGAGAGCGCGCAGCCACGTGCGATGTCTCATAGGATTTCTAAAACAGTAACATGGGGAATTTCAGAAGCAGCCGCAGCCTGTGTGGGGCTGACCCGGTTCCAGACAGCACCATGGAAATTCTCCAGATATAATCTAGGGGAAATGTGTTAAGTTTAGAGAAGACACTAGAAAAGATAATTAAAAAAGAAGATATTAAGCCCATTTTTTAGTCTTGGAATGTCGAATTGAAGAAGCAGCGAAATAGCTAAAATGTTTTGTCATCTGAATCTTTCATTTTATTAATAATATTAATACAGCCATGCTAATATTGGCTGGCTTTCTCCCATGTGTTGTTCAGCGTTGGTTTTGGCATCCAGGTCACCTGGACACATCACATAAAGCAGGCGTCGGGTGCAGCCTGTTTCAGAAATATTGCTGTGCCACTCGGGTAGGTTCATTAGTCGTGATTTTGTCTTGGCACTGCGAATCCAGAACACCTCAAATGTGGTGTGGACTCTGTGTGCCCATCCTTTGTCACCTCCGTAATTAGGAAGTGAAGCCTGTGCCACGGTGCCATGGCACGCCTCGGCGGCGGCGAGGTGCTGAGCAGCGGCTGTGGCACGGGCAGGATCCGGCCGTTGGCGGGGGCGGGGGTGGACCAGGAGCAGGACTGGCCAGAATCTGTCTTTTCTCTGTAGAAGAACCGTAAAATTAGTGCTGAGCTAACATTTCATTTCAGTTAATTGAGAAATATATAGTTCTTCATTTTTCAGTGAGAGAAATTAAAACATTAATGGGTGGAGGGTTTTTTTAGTTATTGAAAATGAAGCAAAGATGCCTGTGTTTCTTCCTTACTTTCTGAACCTCAGACCTTGCCGTAGGTCCCTGTAGCCGAAGGTGATCAGAGTTTCTACAGCTTTTGTAAAGGAGAATAATCATTTGGCTCTTCATTTTACTGGATTTGTGTGTTCTTCACAATAGCTTTTTTCCTTTCCAAAATTTGAAATTTTTATTAAAACCATCTCTTGCTTTTACACCAGAGCATACCTCAAGACCTGCCAGCAGTTACAGTCCTCATTTTATTAAAAGAGATTTTCGGGTTTTTATGAGGAGATCTGTTAATGACGGTATCTACATGCATAATGGAAGGCTCTTTCCAGAATTAACTTTCATGACTTCCAGACTGGAGTCTGCAGACGGAAGTTTGCTCGCCGAAGCCTGGCAGGGGGCCCGCCGGCAGG